AAACCCATATCGCATGGTTTAGAGTTACATGACTTCAGCATGGATCCACAACAGCAGACAATGGCAATGATAATGGCAGGACTAAGAAGAATCGACGATAGTATTGGGCGCGCGCGAAAACACCGGGACGCTCGAGTTCCCAAGCATTGTGTGCGACCGAGTCGGTCGGACCGACGACCCGTGCGGTACGAGAGGCTGTACAGAATCCATCCTTCCTCTGCAGCTCTCCATACTATTAAATCTCTGCTCAATGCCTACTTCACCGCTAGACGAAGAACAAGCCCGTGCTATGGATTATATACTTCAACGTATAGGAAACCATGAGACAGAGCCGGTATACTTCTTCGTCACTGGGTACCCTGGAGTTGGCAAGACAAAGTTGGCGACCGCGCTGATCAACGCTTTACAACCACAGAAGGAGGTCATTGCATTAGCCTGGAACGCCTTGTCGGCAAGAACGGTCGGGGGTCAAACGGTGATGGAATTCTTCAGCCTCCCGTTTGACCAGTCCGGAATAGTCGCTGATAATGCATACATGCGATCCGAGAGGGCGCTCACGGATAAGATGATGAATTGCCTGAAAACGGAAAGGCGCCAGAGGATCGCATCCGCAAACGTGGTTCTACTCATCGATGAGATTTCCGCTATACATAGTACAGTTTTTTGTGCTATCAGCGAAGTTTTCAAGCGCATACGTAACGATGATGGAAAACCCTTCGCCGGCGTTCCAACTCTGCTATTCGGCGATTTCCTACAACTGGGAAGAGTCGAATTCTGTGATACATCTCAAGAATTTCCCGCGGAAGAGTTCAAGACCGGGCCGTGTTGGGACACCTCCACTTGGCTAAGCATGGAACCGGTGACAATCTATCTTACTCGCTTCCACCGTGGAGCTGACCAAGGCTATTTGAACATGCTGTCCGAAATCAGGAGGGGCGAGCAGTGGAGGCCTGGCGTGCCTAAGTTCAGTAAGGAATCGTTGGAAGTACTTCAAAATATAAGAGATCGAGATGGAGGAGAAGCAGCACCACTGTAAGTGTCGGGAACATTTTAGGGTGATAGCTTTAGCAGTGTATGATTGAGCAAATAGAATATAGTGTACACATTTATCAGTAGATTCAATTCTACGTATTTGCATTTCCGAGTTTCAATTTCGAATCTCATGGAATTATAATTTAATTTCTTGATCTGAATTACATTTTTCATTATGATTATACCTATAAACTAGATGTTAAATTACGAGGAGTTTCATAATCCTATATTTGTCACCAACTTGTCTAGGGAAAAAATTCCTACAAAAAATTATATCGTCACTTTCATACCGATAAATACACGAAAAATCTGTTCTGGCTCCCCAGCTGAGCACAGGAGTTTCTTCACGAGAGGAACAAAATTCACACAGGGTTCAGACTCAGAAACACAGAAAACAACAGGAATTTACGAGAATATTTGCGTCAACAACATGTATGTTGGCTACATCCATATTTCCCCAAACTGGATAAATATGGTACCTTCTTGGTATGACAATATATAGATATTTATAAGAGATATATTATATATCCCGTATATAATCTTACTGTATATCATACATATAATCTAATTCATTTTTGAATAATTAGTGAAATGTTCTGATATCAGAGAATGGATAGCACTGCGTTCAATATGATACAGTAAATTTGTTAGTAATTATAACAAAGTAGCAAGATTTACAATTTATTCGGATAAATAAAAAATGTGAACGGATAGCATAACATAATGTTATTAACCATCTGAGAAATGACATAGAAATGACAATAGAAAG